CCTGCTGACCCCAGGCTGCTCCCAGGGGTGTCATGGGGCTGTGGGAGCAGGGCAGGACTCACCGGGTTGGCCCCATGTCCCCGCTCAGCCCCTGGTGTGCAGCACAGCCCTGGCCCTGTGCATGGCCAGAGCCCTGCAAGCAAACTCCCAGAGCCCTGCACACACCTGGAACCCTGCACACCAACACCTAGAACCATGCACAGCAAACACCCAGAGCCCTACCTAGCAAACACCTAGAACCCTACACACTGACACAGCCAGACCCTGGCACAGCAGACACCTAGAACCCTACTAAGCAAACACCTAGAACCCCGCACAACAAACGGACCTAGAGCCCTGCCCGACAAACGCATCTTGAAGCCCGCACGACCTCACCCCTCCAGCCCGGCACGGAGGCACCCGGAGCCCCACACAAGATGCACCTAGAACCCCGCGGGGCACCCAGGGCCCCCTGCAATGGACATGCCCGGGCCTGCATACAGCACATGCCCGCGCCTGTGGGGTCCGGCCTGGGTCTGGGACCCCTCTCGGTCGTGCCTAGACCCCCGGCTGCCTTCCCCAGAGTGCTGGGGGAGGCTCCGAGCCAGCTGTGGCCACCGACGCCGCCAGCTGTTGTTGTGGATGCTCAAGGTCCCCGGGGCTGGAGCCCACAGGGCGCCGAGCCGCGGGCCGTGGGCTGCGCCGTGCAGCTGGGAGCAGGGGGGCTGGAAACCGGGCAGGACTGGGCCCTGCTCCCTGCTGGGGCCTGGGAGAGCAGGGCCAGCTGCCTGCCCCCTGCCTCCGAGACCCTGGCATTCAGGGTCCCCCCCACCCTCAGGCAGGTGCACACCCCTCTGTGCCTCAGTTTCCCTCCTTCAGGAAGGAGGACCCAGGGGCAGGTTCAGCATTATCCCCCGCCCCCACGGACGGAGCAGACCCTGTGCCCGGTCCTGGGCACGGCCAGCTTCGTGCCTCAGTTTCCCCCACGGCGTGCGGGCAGCTAGAGCCGGGAGCATGGGCACGTGACCTCCCGCGCCGTGCCTCAGTTTCCCCCTGGCCGTGAGCCCGACGGGGCGGGCTCCGGCCA